AGTAGTCCTAGTAGTAGTAGTAGTAGTAGTAGTAGTCGTAGTAGTAGTAGTAGTAGTAATAGTAGTAGTAGTCGTAGTACTACTACTAGTACTAGTAGTAGCCGCTTGGGCCCGCCTCCCGGCCCGCCCATGAGGGTCTACCAGCCCGATTTGTCCGTCTGGCTCTGCCAGGTGATTTCTGCTCCTAGCCCGCCTCCTGCTGCTCTCTCTCTCTCTCTCGTGCTTCCATACCCCTCCCTCCCCGTTGTCCCTTACTGTCATCCGTCCTCTTTTCCCTTGCTTTCGGGGCTGGACGAAATACACGTTGCATGCAAGAAGTATCTATCACCCAACGTTGACTCCAAATAGATCGATGGACAGGATAAGAACGAGAGAAGGAGTAGACGTACATAGGTACTTCGTCCGCGTTGAGTGACGAGAAGTTCGTGCACCTGGTGCCGAGGACCATCACGTGCTTCAGAGGCCCGGTAAACGGGTGTTTCCACGCCGCCTGTGTTTCCGATCCTGCGGCTGCGCTTCCCGCGGCTCCGGAGGCCGAGACGGGCAAGTCCGTGCCGTCGGGGCTGGCCATTCCGCGGGCGAAGGCGTGCCCTGCCGCGACGCCGAGGCGAGCGCGACCTGGCCGTCCGTGTGTAAAGGCGTACCTTGCCGTGACGCCGAGGCGAGCGCGACTGTGCTTCACTACGATCGCTGCCTTGCCGGCGCCTCCGCGGTGGCGCGTGCCGGTCCGACGCGACAGCGGGCGGGCGTCTCCGCGCCGCCTTGTCTGCGTCGTCACTGGCAGAGGGCGAGTAGCTTGAGCGGGCGCGCGGCTCCGAAGCCCGCGCGCCATGAGAAGAGCTCAGTGAAGAACTCTCCTCATCGGAGAGGCTGACTTTGACACTGGCGTCCATGGGCGCGGCCGCACGGGTTTGAGCCGAAAGGCCGCCTTGAGATGAAAGTGTGACGATGTGATGGTGATGGTGGTGAAGGTGGCGGTGATGGGTATGGTGTGTCTGGTGTTGCTGGTGAAAATGAATGTGATGGTTGGAGATACTTGGTATGGGAGGGAGAGGTGCTCGCGGGTCCTCAGGGTATGACAAGAAGGGTGCGGCTCACCGGTTTGTCTTGGTTGTCTTGGCATCGGAACAATCACCGGTCGTCCTGGTACGAGAAGAGCGGGGTGGTTCGCCGGTCGTCTTGGTAGGGAAGTGGGCGTGGATTGGCATTGCTTGACTTTGCATTGCAGTGCATGGCTGTGCACGGCTTGGCAAGTTGCTTGCATTGCTTGGCATTGCGTGGCATTGCGTTGCCTTGATTTGCGTTGCATGCAGGTAGTTTTCATGCCTGAGCATTGCATTGCATTGCTCCGTATTGCATCGCATTACTTTGGCATTGAAATACGCATAGGCGTAGGCCTTGGCATTGGCATAGGCATCCGTAGGAATCCATAGGAATCTTAGCTCAGGATCCAAAGGACTCCATACGCATAGACATTGGCATAGGCATGGGAATCCGTACGACGCATAGGAATCCATAGGACTCGCCATTGGAATAGCTGGGGGGTGCCATTGGAGATAAGGGGGGTTGCCATGTGCAAAAGGTGGGGGGGGGAGGGGGGTGCCATTGGAACTAAGGGGGGGTGCCACTGGAAAAAGGGGGGGGCCTAACGACCAATTACTTATGATGAGCTAGGACTCCTGTAGGGCAAACCTATTTGGAGAATATACCCCCAAGGGGTACGATCGAAGACGAAGAGGGCTCAGAGCGAACAGTCTTAAACCGATTGTTGTTGTTGGTGCTGGTGCTGGTATTGTGTTGTTGTTGCTGTTGTTGTCGTTGTTGTTGTTGCTGTTGTTGTTGGTGCTGTTGTTGCTGTTGTTGGTGCTGTTGTTGCTGTTGTTGTTGTCGTCGTCGTCGTCGTCGATGTTGCCGATGCTGGTGAAGATGATGGTGGAGAGGCTGATGCTGATGCTGCTGCTGATGACGATGATGCTGACTATGATGATGATGCTGATGAGGATCACGCTGATGATGCTGATGATGACGAATTTGTGATGATGAGACTGATGACAATGATGCTGCTAATGCTAATGCCGATGAGGATGATGGCGTTCTGGTTTCGGTTTGTTGTCTTGCAAATGGTGGTGATGGCGATGACGATGACGATGGCGATGGCGATGGCGACCATGATGATGTTGATAATGATGATGCTGGCGGTGCTGATGATGTTAGTGGTGATGATGTGCTGATGATGATGCTGCTTTTGCTGATGATGTTGTTGATGCTGAGGATGCATCATGCGCTGATAATGCTGATGGTAGTGGTGGTGATGGTAACAATTATGATGCTGATACTGATGATGATGCTGATGATGACGATCATGCTGACGATGATGTTGCATTGGATGATGCTGCTGTCGATGATCATGACAAAGACTATGATTGTATTCATGACGATGATAATGGTCATGATGATGACGATGATGGTGATGAGCATGATGGTGGTGGTGATGATGCTGATGACGACGATGATGATGAGGATAACGAGGATGATACTGATGATGATGATGGTGGTGATGAGGATGACTACGATGATGATGACTATGATGATGGTAATGCTGCTGATGATGATTATCAGGATTGTTGCGATGACGTTGCCGATGACGATGATTGTTGTGGTGGTGGTGGTGCTGTTGCTGGTGATGCTGATGATGTTAATGATGCTGATGCTGATGATGACGATTACGATGACGATGACGATGACGATGAAGATGACGATAACGATGTCGATGCTGATGACGGTGATGATGATGGTGATGGCGCTGATGATGATGACGATGATGACCGTGCTGATGATGCGGATGATGATGATGCTGATGATGATGCTGCTGGTGATGATGATGATGACGATGACGACGACGATGATCTTACAGTATGAGGAGGAGATGGTGGAGGAGGAGGAGACGGTGAAGGACCTTCAGCACCCTCCCTCTCCCCCCCTACTCCCCGTCCTCCGGTTCCTCTTGTTCCAATTCGTCCTCCCCTTTCCCGTCGTTCTGTCTTTTCTTTCCCCATGCTCGTCTCGTCCCCGTCCTTCCCCCGCCTGTTCTTCCACCCTGAAGCGACGACGACGACGACCTAGACGAAAATAACGACGATGACGACCGTGACGACCTCCACGACATGACGACTACGTTGCAGACGCCGACGTCAAAGACGACGACCTTGACGACATCGACGACCTCGATGGCGACGGCGACGAGCACGGTTGCGGCGACGACGCCCTCGACAACCTAGACCTATACGTCCTGGACGACGCCAACGACGCGGCCAATCACTTGGTCCACGACGACGCCGTTGCTCCATCCTCCTTCCGCCCTCGTCGTGCAGCAGTAATTCGTCTCGAAGCGCGTACCAGACGAGCATCTCGAAGCTTTCGGGGTGCTACTAGGCAGGGCGGGCTCCTATCTGGCAACCCCCACAAAAGGCTGCGAGCTGGGGTGCGCCACAAGTAATGAATGTCCCGCATTGTCAGTTCCTCGGCTTCGCCACGTTTCGCCCGAGGCACTGTTACGTGGCGGCCCTCTCGCAGACCTGGCGGTTTGGTCAATGATCCTCGATCATCGAACCGCGATTCTCTTCCTCCGTCCTCCTCCTTTCTCCTCGGTCCTCGATCCTCGTCCTCGATCCGCGTCCTCTTCCTCTCTCAACGTTCCTCGATCATCGTCCTCCTCAATGATCCGCGACCCTCGTCCTCCTCCTCCTCCTTTCTCCTTGCTCCGCCGTCCTCGCCCCGCCGACGCCCCGCGGACGCACACGGGGCAGCCGAGCTGCACGGGCTTCTCCGGTCCAGCCTGCCGCCCTCCCGCGGGAGCGGGATCGGGCACGGGAGCTCCGGGACCCGGCCGCGACGCCCGTCCATCTGGCCACGGCCACGGCCACGGCCACGGCCACGGCCACGGCCACGGCCAGGGGCACTGCCGCGGCCACGGCCACGGGCAGGGCCACGGGCACGGCCACGGCGACGGCCACGGCCACGGCCACGGCCGCCCCGAGAGCTCGAGATGCGCGAGACCTGCAACACCACCAGGGTGCTGCAGGCGGCTGGCGAGGAGGTAGACACCCAGCAGCTGCTGGCCCCTTCCCTTTGCAATCGCGCGCGTACGTGTGAGTGTGTGTGTGTGTATATGGTCTGTACTTTGTGTGTGTGCGCGTGTGTGCGCGTGTGTGTGTGCGTATGTGTGCGAGTGTGTGTGTGTGTGTGTGTGCGTGTTGGTGCTGTACTGTGTGGTGTTGTGTTCTAATGCGTTGTATGGTCATGCCGAGGGGAGCCCTGCAGACTTTTATGTCCTCCCATGTCCTGTGCAGGACCGGCTCTCCGTCTGGCTGCCCGTGGCTGAGCGGCGCGCAGTAGGTGTATCCTCCAGTCCGCATGCCCGCCCCGTCGGAGATGTGACGACGTTCGCGTGGCGATGCAGCGCTGTAATTTCGATGTGAATCCGACGTGAACCCGACGTACAGTCGGGCCGCTGAAGAAGGAACCCTTTTCGTTTGGGAGGGGCTCCGTGTTCCTGAGTTGTTTTACAGCGCTCCTTGGGTTTTCCCCAGGTTTTCCATGGAACATCGGAGTTTCATTTATGGGAAAAAGGGGCCTCGTTCCTTATTTATCGTTCCTTAGGTCAACGCCCCGACTGTAGACCCGATGTGGAACCGACGTAAGTTGGGTCTCAAGTTGCCGCGCGAGGCCTCCGGGATTTTCCTCATACGGTTGGCGTTGGAAAGGTGGCGTGCGAGGTGGTGCCGCCGGCCCGATTCTGATGCGCCGTGTCCCCCACCCTGGGGATCTCGTGCGCCGAAGAGGCCCTGGCAGGGTGATAGCGTGCACAAGAAGGGACCCTCGCGGGGGCGGCGTGCTCTCCGGAGATCCATTGTGCCTGCGATCTCTCCACCGCCGGCCGCGAGGCTGGCGAGGAGGCAGGCTCCCTCTGCCGACGGCGGCGGCAGCGGCCACCTGCCGAGGCCCGGCAGCAGTTCGGCCGGGACGTGTTCGTGCACCAGCGCCAGGCCGCCGCCGGCCTGCAGCCCGGCGACGCTGTCAGGCCGGCTTCGCCGCCGCTGTGGACCCCTTGGGAGGCTCGTCGAGGATGGTGGTCATGATGCTGAGGATGATGGTGGTGGTGGTAGTGACGGTGATGATGTCGCTGATGGTGGTGGTGGTGAGGGTGATGATGATGAGGATGATGGTGCCGATGATGTTGATGATGATAATGGCGATGATGATAACGAGGAGGAGGAGGAGGGTGGTGGTGTTGATGAAGAGTGAAGGTGATGATGATGATGATGATGATGACGATGATGATGATGCTGCTGATGATGATGATGATGATGATGAGGATGAGGATGAGGATGAGGATGATGCTATTGATGATGATGATGATGATGATGAATAATAATATTAATAAGACTAAGAAGAATAATAATAAGAATAATAATAAGAATAATAATAATAATAATAAGAAGAATAATAAGAAGACGAATAATAATCATAATAATAATAATAATAATAATACGAAGACGAAGAAGAATAAGAATAATACGAATAAGAAGAATAAGCATAATAATAATACGAAGAATAATAATAATCATAATAACAATAATAATACTAATAAGAATAACACTAATAATAAGAAGAATAAGCATAATAATAATAAGAATAATAATAAGAAGAAGAGGAAGAGGAGGAGGTGGAGCAGGAGGAGGAGGAGGAGGTCGACCACGACGAGGAGGTCTCTTGGCGCGAGCTCTCGGTGGTGATTCCCCTCTACACCATCCCCGAGGCTGCCGAACAGGGCGGCCTGGCAGCTGTGGAGCTGCAGGTGCTGCTGGGGCCACGCGACAGCTCGCAGAGCCCAGTAGCCACATCTCGAGGCATATCAGCGTCATAAACAGAAACTTTCGGAGCTCCGCGCGGATTTCTCAGATCTGCGCTCGGTCGCCCTGGCGGAGCCTCTGGCACCAGCTTAAAGAAGTCCGCGCGGAGCTCAGGACATCCATGCGTGTGCACTTTTTGGTTTCTCTGTTGCAGTGTTCTAGTTGTCCCGGATTCTGCATCGAACTGTCCCTCGGCTGCCCCGACCGCGTCTTGGATCCGAGCCGCCGCGACAGAAAGCTGTTTCTCTGCTGAAGACCCAGAGGTTAGCACCCACCTTCGCATCGGTGGCTGCTCCCACCCAGGGGAGATAATGTTTGACCTCGGTGTTGGTGGCAATGCTCGGGCTTCTCCGGTGGCCGAGAGATTATCACCATCGACCACGCGCAGAGAGGGGTATGGGGAGGGGGGAAGGTTTCTTAGAAGCACCCTTGCTTCTTAGAAGGCGCGGGCCTTATCTATAGATGTGACTCCGCCGCCTTCTGAGAAGTAGTCTCCTGCTCAGAAGCTTTCCCTCCTCCCCCGAACCCTCCTCTGCGCGCTGCCAATCCGGTGGCCGAGAGATCACCACCAGCACCACATTCCAGGATCGTTATTCCCCGGTGGCGGCAGCCCCCCCAGACGCCCGACGTCATGATTTTTTCGTAACGTCGACCCCCAGAGGTCTCGACCCAGTCGTTTTTTGATGGTCCCGGGGGCCGGCATCGGCCACGAGGGGCCGAAAATCGTGGAAAACCTCCCCTCGTGATTCTTCAGAGCTCGAGGGGGTCTGGGCCCCGTGCTGGTCTCCGTGCCACCCTCCGGGCCCCTCGGGATGCCCCTCGGGATGCCCTCTGCGGCCGGCCCTCGCCGGCCCCTCCGCGGCCGCCCGCCGGCCCCTCGGCGGCCGTGCGGAGGGCCACTCGGCGGCCGCCCGGTGGGGCCCTCGGCGGCTCGAGCGGCGGCGGCCGCGTCGTCGTCGTCGTCGTCGTCGTCGTCGTCGTCGTCGTCGTCGTCGTCGTCGTGGTCGTGGTCGTGGTCGTGGTCGTGGTCGTGGTCGTGGTCGTCGTCGTCGCCAGACCTCTGGGGGCGACGTTATGAAAAGATCCTGACGTCGGTGGGTCTGGGGAGATGTTCTGGCCCGGTGGGCCAGCGCAGTCGCAGTGTAGCGACTCCTTCTCTGTCTCCTGCTCCTGGTCCTCCCCGCTGTCACTGCACAGCACAGCGCTGTTCACTGGTGACCCCTGCGACGCCATGCGTCGCCTCCCAGCTCCCAGCCCGGTGTATTCCGACAGCGCTGCGCTTCTGTGCCGTCTTCAGCGTGAGCCGCGTCGGGCCTCCGTCCAAGGGCCTCGAGGGCTCCGTCCAGCTCGACCGCGCTCTGGTCTCCGCTCCCCCCTCGCCTTCCCCTCTCTCTCTCCTCCCCGCGCTGTCCCCTCGCCGCCTCCCCCCGCTCCCGCTCCGCGCCTCGCCGTCCCCTCTCGCTGTCCCCCCCGCCCCCCGGCCTCGCCGCAGCTGGAGCCCGCCCCCGGGACTCCGCTGGTGCTCGGTTCTCTCGTGCCTCGGCTTCAGTCGGGCCTGTCCCTCTGCAGGAGGAAGATTCAAAAAGAGTCAACAAGATAATCTGGGGACGACGTTTCGATTAGTTGCTGACTACGTTTGAGTATTTTGGGGAATCTTCTTCACTTTCCGTCCAAGATCCGCCTGTAGGAGGACACGCCCGACCTCAGCCTCGGGCCTCGTGGGCTTGAAGTCACCGAGTGGCGAGCTCCTGGGCTCCCCCCGCACGTTCCTCTAGGCCTCCCAAGGGGGGTCCGAACAGGTGCGGTCGAAGGATCGCGCCGCAGTGCCGATGTCTCGCCCGTGCGGCTGGATGCGGCGTCCGAATTTCTCCACGTCGACCGTCTAGTCGGCGCGATCCTCCCACCCCATCTACTCCGACTCATTCTGGGAGGCCTCTAGTTGGCCCCCCAAGAAGAAGCCACTCGGGGGTGGACAGAACCCCCAACAGTGACACGTCGATTAGTGAATTGTACGTTTTCGGTTCTCGAGATGGCGCCGTGGCCGTTATTTTCCAGGCTTGCGCCCGCCAGGTTTGGGCCTCAGGTCGTTTTCACTAAACCACGTTTTACTAAAGGGGGGTCTGTCCATCCCCGAGCCACCCTTACACTTCGGTGTCTGTGCTCGGTCCCAGACGCCTCCGACGTCGAGTCCTTCTCTCGACGCGGGGCCTCGAGCGCTCCCGGCGCACCACCCGCGGGAGCATGCTCCTGGTCGCGGGCTGCCTTTCCTCAGAATAAGCCAGGGCGCACAAAACAACAGGCTCTCGAGCCCCGCGCTTGCAAGACTGGCCGCCCCAACACCAACAGATTACCCGCCTGAAAACCAGATCCCTATCCTTATGCAGATAAAATAGGGATTCCCTCGCTTTCTGAAGGCACATCCCTAAGCTTGTCATCGTCTTGTTTTTTCGATCTTAGGATCAGGGATCAGCTCGAGGCTGGTCAGCAGTGAGAAGACAGGCGAAGGGAACACGAAAATAAGAACACCCCGTGAGGGCGTGGAGCATGCGTGCAGAATGTCCCTGGTGGGGTGGATAGTGATAGTGTCACGATGATAGTGGCCATAAGCAGGAGGAGGAGTCCACGTGTAAGCTGATCGGAATGCTGGGATTTCTGGATTCCTCTTAAAACGAGCATGTCCCTCTACGGGGGGAATATTCAAACATAGTCAAGAATAGTACGGGGATGATTTTGTTAAAACTATTTTTGGCCATGTTGGGGTTTGGTTGTTGGTATTTTTGTTTTTTCGTGCACAATCCGCCTGCAGGGGGACATTCCCGACCTGAGACCCCTCCTGGACGTCGCCCCGGCCAGGTTGCCCTGGGCTGACCCCGCCGTGGCCAAAGGGGCCCCGCCCCCCTCCCCGCCGCGCCGGGCCGCGCCGCCGCAGGTTCACGGTGTGGCTGAACGAGAAGCGCGAGCCGCAGGCGCTGCCGGTGGAGCCGGCCTGTCGGAAGAGGCAGGAGGCAGATGATAGGATTGCAAAAAACCCCAGACATGAAGGATTGCAAAAAAACCCTTCGTTCTTGGGTTTTTTTGCAATCCTTCGGGAGTAGCCCAGACATGACCGCGTCGCAACAAAAATCAGGGCGGCAAGGTTTTGCATTCTTTTCGGCCCTCGGGGGCGCTCGCCGGGCCCCGGGACCGTAAAAAAAAACGACTCGGGATGAAAAACTTGCCCCGGGGAAAGGGTCTGAACTTCCAGGGACGCCGGACGTCGCATGTCTGGGAGCAGAAGTCGTGGGAGGAGTGGGAGGAGGGTTCTCCCCTCTTTCTGTGTCTTCTGTCTTTCATTCAGCTTCAGGTATCTCTCAACCCAGCCGGCGATGACCTTCGCCGGGATCACTGGTTTGATCGCCCCTTCCCCCCTAAGGGCTGGCTTGCCTTGGGGGTGGGATCGCTACGTCGGATGACGTTCTTGCCGTCAGTGGGTCAGTGGGTCAGGAGGACAGCGTGTGAATGCGAGAGTACGGCGGCGTAGGGAGGGTGTCAGAGGAGCAGATGTAGGGATGATTCTGCTGATGATGGGCATGGGATGATGACGGTTGTGATGATGAGCGCGCTTTTGTATTTGATTGAGGCGATGAAGGCGATACGGCTGATGATGTTGATGGCGATGAGGAGGATGCTGAGGAGGCAGGTGCAAAGGGGGATAGGGGGCGGACGCAGACGAGTTTGATGACGATAGTGTTTGTGATGAGGATGGTGTTGATACTGATGAGGAACACGAGGAATCTGATTCTGGAGGATGAGGATCGGGAGCTGATGAGAGATCCCACCTGGTGCAGAAGCAAGGATGATGAGGATACTGATGATGAGACTGCTGCTGTGAGCATGATTATGTGATGACGATGCTTGCGAGGATTACGAGTAGAACGAGGATTGCACCCGATAGGGTGAGGAAGAGGAGGGATAGGAGCAGGATGAGCAGGATGTTTTTTGAAATGCTATGATGCCCAATCGTGCGAGCTTGTTGTTGGCATACCTCTGCTGCTCAAGCATGACAAACGTACCGCAGCGTTGATCGTACTATGCCACGAGCAGTGCGATATAATGATGGTAGGGGAAATCACCAGGCATAGGAGATGCACGTGGTCTCCAATACAACACACAATGTATGCGACAATGCTCCGGTTCTGAGCCGAAAGGCCCACTGGTCAGCATAGCGAACACTGTGCAGAATCGCAAGAAGGCAAAGGTAGATGTACCAGCGCCGCACCCTCAGGAGCAGGAGGCCAAAACAAAGGGGATGGGCGGAGATTGCTTCGGTTCCCTTATCGACACGCTCGCGCCATGAAGAAGCCTGCCGCGGCTCTCTTCATGGGAACGCCTCGGAGCAGATCGCTCGCTGGCGGGCCCCGGCATGACGCATGACAGTGAAAGCGATATTGAGGAAAAGGAGAAATACGAAGACACAGTGCACGGCGAGGGCGACGCAAAATATACATACACGCTGGTCGTTGGAAGTGGGTATTTTCGGACTCCCAGGTCCCAATCTATTTCAAGTGCCTTCCTACTTCGATAATCGATATGCTATTGCTGTGTTGTGATTACCTGGGAGTGCCCGAACCCAATCTGCTTTATCCGCCTTACTACTTACCCATCGGTCGTTGACATTAGGTATCTTTGGAGTCCCGGATGCCAATCTACCTCAAGCGCCTTCCTGCTTCCATGATCGAGTGGCCTCACCTCCTGTGTCCTTCTTCGGGGGCGGACGGAACCCAATCTACTCTCAACGCCTTCCCATTTCATTCGGGGAACGAAGAATGCCATAAACATGACAATGCAGAGGTCCGCGCGGATTTCTCGAATCCGCGCTGGACCCCCCTGGCGCCGCCTCCGGCGCCGCCCCTGGTGCGCTCCGCGCGCCAGGGAGGGGGGTCCAGCGCGGATCCGAGATATCCGCGCAGACCTCCGAGTTTTTATGTTTAGTGTTTTTTCGTCCCCCTCTTCCCACTTCATGTCTCGACGTACTTCTTCCCACTTCATGTTTCTGCGTACCCCATGCTTCTACGCACTTTGTGCTTCTGCGCACTTTAGGCTCATGTCATCGTTCGTTCCCCGATTCCTGATTCGTGCTTTACGTACTTCTTCCGACCGATCTTGAGGCCTCGAACGTCGATCGGAAGCGAAAGCGCGAGAAGGCAAAACACATCTGTTTTCTCAAGGTTTTTTGAAAGATTCTGGCTTCTTGGAGGGTGCCCAGGAAGGCTGGATGGGCACTTGGAACCGTCTTGAGGCTGCTTTGGGGCCTCTTAGAGGTATGTCGGAGGCGCGATGCATCGCCGATGCATCAGCGATGCGGCGCGATCCGACCCCGTCTGGTCCGACCCCATCTAGGAGGTCTGTAGCCTGGGCGCTCCAAGCGGCTCCTGTGCTGCTTTTGCGTGGAACGAATCTTCAACCTCGGAGGCCCGCGCCTTCCTACTTCATAAATGATGGAACCCAGTCTACTCTCAACGCCTTCCTACTTCATTAGGGGCACGAAGAATGACATCAACAGAGGCCCGCGCATTCCTATTTCATCAGTGACGGAACCCAATCTACTCTCAACGCCTTCCTACTTTATTAGGGGAACGAACATTGACATAAACATAAAACGCGGAGGCCCGCGCGGATTTCTCGGATCGGCGCTGGCCCCCTGGCGCCGCCTCCGGCGCCGCCCCTGGCGCGCTCCGCGCACCAGGGAGGGGGGGTCCAGCGCAGAGATCCGCGCGGATCTCTGAGTTTTCATGTTTCTCTCATTAGTTGTTCCCCTATTTTTGCCGTTGCCAGAGCGGGTGCCAGGCGTGGAGAAGGCTCGGCCAGGGATTGCGGGCCCTGTCATCCGCGGGCATCATGGCGCCAACATCGCAGAGCGGATGTCGTTTGGAAAAGAGTGGGATGGCCCCAGATTGTCCTGGAGGATTTCGTTCCAGCTTTCGAAGTGAATTTCGCGCGGATTTTGTTTGGCCAGGAATGAAGACTACAAAACATCCACGTGAAATTCACTTTGTTTTTCGCTCGCCGTTTTGAAGGTTTGGCATGGAAGCCACGGCGCGATATCGACCCTTTCGTAATCTGGTCCCCCCGGAGGTTCAACAGCACAGCGGACTACATGGTAGATCTAGCAATGGACACTGGCGACGATTATGACATAGACCCACGAAGTTTCCGGCACCGAGCTCTACGACACCGCATGCTGAAGGTTTGCATCGACGGGGGTTACGGAGATGTGGGTCGGCTGCGATGGGCATTGTGGTCTACGGTATCGAGGGTTCCGAGACAGTCGAGGTGGGACGTGCTGCACGGAGGCTCAGAGGCCTGAGCGCGGCCTTTCATACCGAGGCGACCGCGTTAGATTGGCTAGTTGATTTGTTTTGTCCGCATGTTTTGTGAGTGTCCTTCTCCCTTCTCTGCGCCTTCTCCCCCTCTTGTCCACTGGCGCTGTTACTACAGAGGTAGGCGTTGCTGTTGGAGCACAGCCCTGAACTCCAGGTTACCACGATTCGGCGCATTTCCGAAGGAATCGCCGTTACGACAGAATCTGGCTGTTGTGACCCACAAATCAAGGTTGCGACGATTCGGCCGCATTTCCGAAGGAAGCGCCGTTACGACAGAATCTTGCTATTGGGACCCACAAATCAAGGTTGCGACGATTCGGCCGCATTCCCGAAGGAAACGCCGTTACGACAGAATCTGGCTAGTGCGACCCACAAATCAAGGTTACGACGATTCGGCAGCTTTGCCGAGGTAAGCGCCGTTACGACAGAATCTGGTTGCGACGATTCGGCCGCAATTCCGAGAACAGCGCCGTTACAACATAATCTGTTCTGGATCCCACCTTTTACCGACTCCAGACAGTGAGCGCATGGCCAGAATGTTCTAGTGTTTTGGGCGCTTCGGCCCCACCCTGCAGCACCCGCGCGGTGCACGATGCAGGCCGTTCCGTTCCGTTCCGTTCCCCCGGGGTCATCATGAGCCACCGGCGTTATTACATCGCATGTAACAATGCGCGCGCAGCAGTGCCAGCGGAAGTCGGAAACAAAGAAAGACATCCACGCAAAAATCCGCCCCAGCGCGTCTGCAAGGTCGGTGCAGTGACGGAGATGACTGTTTCATCCCCTGTTTTTCGCCCCGCCGTCCGTTTCTGATGGTCCGGGGCCTCAGAAGCCGAAGTCGAGGAAGAGGTGCCAATTGAACAACACATCATATCGTCGGTCGGCGGCGAGCGAGGGGGGAAGTGAGAAGGAGAAACCCTCCAAAAAGGTTCGGAAGGCCCCCGTCTTGTGAGAAATTGTCTGAGCCTTCCCCGAAGACAAAACACAAATTCACAAAAGGCGCGAGGGCATCTGAGAAGTCCCGCCGCCTTCTGAGAAGGCGCTTTCTCCTTCTTGTTTCCCCCCCTCGCTCGCCGCCGAGTCGGTGATTTGTGGTGCGCGACGTCTTCGCCGAGCGCGCTCCACGACTCGCAGAGTGCCCACTCGCAACGCCCGACAAAAAACACGAGCCTGTCTTGAACCCTACCCCTGCCCCCCGCGACTTCTGAGGGGGAGGGTGGGGCTCACTTCGTGGGGGTTCGGGGGGCATCGTCCCTGCCGAGCTCCGTGGCTCCCGCGGGGCGCCCTCGAAGGCCGGCGTAGAGGGCTTGCCGGGAGACGGCCCCTCGCACGCACGAGAGCCCGCGGCCCGCGGCGGCGGCGGCAGCGCCCAAGGTGGGGCGAGCTGGGGCAGCTCTGCCTCGGATGCCGTTGTTTCTTCTTGTGGCGATTCCCCCGGAGCCAGTCCGGTGCGGTGGGCTGCCCGGCTGCCCGGTCGCCGTTCCCCGATGCTCTGCCCGCCCAGGGCCGTCTCTCCCCGACGGTGTTCGGGAGGGACAAGAAGCACACAGACACAGTTTGATCGTCGACTCCCAGGAAGAGATGGGAAACTATGGGAAGTGGGGGGG